GAAGGAGTCCGCCTGGGTCTGAAGGAGTCCGCCTGGGTCTGAAGGAGCCCGCCTAAGTCCGGTCACACTGGTTCCATCATCTTGTGGTACTGGAGCTTGCAGCCGATCGGAGACGGACCTCAGAACCTGAAATAAAGAACAGAGGACAGGCTGAGACAAAGGGGGACATTTGTCTTCATCTTTAGTTGAGATGCTGTGTCTTTAAGAGTGACGTCATCAAGAACAACAACTGAGCCTTTACCAAACAAACAAACAAAACAACAATTCCTGTTAGTGCAACTACTTTCCGCTTGGAGAGCTCGGGGTCAGCAGCACTTCCACAAAACCCGTCCCGGAAGCGTCATTTCCGGTTCGTTTCTGGTTCTCTGAAACGGAAACCTTCCGTGGAGCTTACACCGGACTCGTTTTGTTCTGATCGGTTTTAGCTGCCGGTTCGATCGGTTTTTATCTAAAACTCAACTCGTAGGATCCAAACCCGGTTGTGAAAGCGCGGGAAACCCAAACCAAAGGAGCGATGGATCCTCTATCGATAAGAAGCCGATCACAAATCAATCCGCCGACAGAAACTCTGTAATTTACGGTAAACTCACCGGACCGACGTCAGCTGCGGCAGCTACACCGGAAAACCGAGCAGCTAGAGGCGGGGCTTAAATGCTGCGTTCAATAAACTGGGAAATTACGTACTCAGGCTAATAAGTTTTTTTCTTTTCTTTACATTTTTTACAGCAGTTCATTTTATTTTTCCAAGAGTTTAGTGTAGAAGATAAATTCTGACACTTTGGAAAAGACTGTGATAATTTATAATTTGACTTTAAAGTTTGAAACTTAATAAATTCTGTATCTTTATCAGGTCTCTGTTGCAAATGAGTCCCTTAGGCTCAATGGGATTAACCTGTAGAAATAAAGGTTGAACGAATAAACGAATGACTGCATCTCAGAATTATGAGTTAAAGACATTATTATAACATATGAACACTTGAACTCAAAAAACAGTGAATTTCATTATGATTTTGTAATGACTAAACAAGAAAGATGAACGAGTTTAATAAATCATAAAAACAAACACCTCAATATTATCACTTTGGTTTTTAGAATTATAATTTGAATAGCAAATATGATCTGAAAACACATCATTACTGAAATATAAAAGCACACTTTAGACTGTTAAAACCCAAAGTTTGACTTTTTACCTTGACATTAGTCATAATTAGGAGTTTAAAGTCAAAATCATATGAAAAGTTATGTGTGAGTTTAAAAGTAGAACTGATCGTATGAAGTGTTTTAATGCGAGTTCAAATGTTTTGAAGCCCATATTGACTTTAAAACTCCTAATTTGGATTTATCATCAACAAAGTCCACGATCAATAATCCAGGTCTGCAATCCAACATTTTTCAGTCAGGTCATCTGGACAGCTGAAACGTTTCACCTTCCATCCAGAAGGCTTCATCAGTCAAGGAAACGCACAACACTAAACAGATTCTTCCTCCAAACAGCTTACTCCAAAGTGGAACAAACCAGTTATGTTGGTGCTAAGATGGTATCTTTGACACGCCCCCTCCTCTGGTGCCGGCCCTCTCCCTCATGTCAAACTAGTTCAAAACCAACAAAGTCCATGCTCAATAATCCAGGTCTACAATCCAACATTTTTCAGTCAGGTCATCCGGACAGTTTCTTTTTTTGTGTGCTAAAAAAAATAAACTGTCCAGATGACCTGACTGAAAATTGTTGGATTTATCATGTTTTTTTTCTTTCTTCAGTGCTAATAATTCACGTGTCTAAATTTAAACTTGAAAAGGTCAAATTATTTTATTTTTCTTTAATTTTCTTGCCCCATAAACTGGACATTTTTTAAAATAACTGATGTAAGTTATTAAGTTAAGAATTAAAAATAAAAAAAAGTATTTAAGAAAAATGCAGCGTTAATGATTTTAATATTGTTGATGGTTTATTTGTTTTGTTTTTATTCTGCTTAAATAAAATTTTTCTATTTAATATGGAAAAATAAAAGTCAGGCTGTGTTGTTAAGTTCAGAAGTTGGTCTTTAGGCCCTCTTTTTGTCCTATTCATTATTTATTTGTTGTTATTTGTGAGTCAGTCACTTCTTGTTTTGCAGCTGAAACGAGCCCGGAGCTCTGAATTCGTCCCCTTCTCCGTGTAACCCAAACGCAGCACTCGGTGTTGTTCTGCGCGCTGTTAATAAAGTTCTGTCAAAGTGGTGACGTCATTTGTTCCGCGTTGGCCTGGACGTGGCAGTGAGGAGGAGCAGCGCCCTCGGTTCTCTGCTCCGCCTGTCTCCGTCTCTTCCTCCGGCTCAGGCAGCAGTTTCTCCGGACTGAACGGCTCGCAGCCTCCGCCGTCGGCTTGTCACCTCCTCCTGCCGCCTCCTCGGAACACTTTGACCAAAATGGGTCTGACCATCTCGTCTTTGTTCTCCAAGTTGTTCGGGAAGAAGCAGATGAGGATTCTGATGGGTGAGCGCTGATGCTAGGCTAACTTAGCTCCGAGCTAACCGGTCCGGTACCGGGGCTCAAGTCGCTCTGTAGCCCAACTTATTTTACTAACTAGTTCTGGTTGACGTGTTTTCTGTAAATGAGTTCTGTCAGGTTAAATGTTTACTTCGACTTTTACCCAGATTTAGTAAAAAACAGTTGAGCTCGTTCCGTTAGCATTAGCAGGTGCTAACGGAAGGAGCTGAACATCAGCTGCAGATGGTCTCACCTTCTGCTCCTGTCAGAGTTCATCAGAGTCGACCTGATTTAACCGTTTCCACTCTCAGTTTCTGTTTTCACTTTAATTTAAGTGTCTGAAGACGTTTACACGAGTTCAAACCCGGTTTAATTAGCTTGTAGCTATATTTGTTTTTAAGTGTTTTACAGATAAAGTAGTTTTTTCTGACGCTGCAGTAAAAAGTCTAAACCAGAACATTCATATTAGAAGTTGTATTCAGATGCTGGAAGTGAAAGAGGGCTCGAAGTGCTGTACATAAGATTACAAAATAACATTTAAAGGTTGAAGCAAAGATTAGATGTAGTAAAAACAACCAGATCAGTCGAAACCGCTTGGATCAACAAAGATCAGAGGCCGAGGAGCTCGTCTGATCGTGGACCGGAGCGGCAACATGAAGTTCTGTCTCCTCCGAGACCCTTTGGACCTCAGCACCTC